CAGTTACACTCCTCTGCCAGCCAGGACCAGGGCTCGTCTAAACAGGCCCCAGGGCCAAAAACCTAACCTTTGAGGGTGTGCCTGAGGAGGGAGCACCGGAACCCAGTCCTCATCCTTACCCTCCCTTTGTGAATTGGCTATCCCACTTGTGGCATGCCTGGACCCAAAGTACTTCAGATCACTGGGTACTGAGCGTGATTGGATTACACTCCTCTGCCAGCCAGGACCAGGGCTCGTCTAAACAGGCCCCAGGGCCAAAAACCTAACCTTTGAGGGTGTGCCTGAGGAGGGAGCACCGGAACCCAGTCCTCATCCTTACCCTCCCTTTGTGAATTGGCTATCCCACTTGTGGCATGCCTGGACCCAAAGTACTTCAGATCACTGGGTACTGAGCGTGATTGGAGTGGGATAGTCTATCTAGTTCTGCTCCCTCCTGCCCTCCCATCTCCCTTTCCTGTCCTCCTTCAGGAACCCCCTCATGAGCACCTCCTTCTGCAGGGGGTGCAATCACTCCTCACTTTAGGGGCAATAGAGGACGTTCCTCCTGAGCTCAGGATCAAGGGATTTTACTCCCAATATTTCCTTTTCCCCCAGGCCCATACCTGGACCAACTGGCTCATCGAGGGCAGTTCCTGTAAACAAGTACTGGTGCATTGGTGCGAACCGTGTTCAGCACGCTGGGACTCATTCTGAATATACCCAAGTCCACACTGGTCCCAACACAAGTCATAGAGTTAATTGGGGCTTTCCTGGACTCCCTGCCGGCAAGAGTTTCCTTACCTGAGACCTGGTTCCAAACCATCTAAGGCCTTATCGACAGCCTTCAGCCATTCCCAACCACTATGGCAAGGAACTTCATGAAGTTTCTGGGGTACATGGCGGCCTACACACATGTTGTGGAGCATGCCAGGTTGCGTGTTCGCCCCTTACGTGTCTGGTTGGCGAAGGCTGACAGACCCAGCCAGGACCCTCTAGACAGGTTGGTTACCCTCCCGCCCACAATTCTTGAGTCCCTCGACTGGTGGCTGCAGCCTTAGGTGCCCTGTGCCAAGCCTCAGCCCTTGCTGTCACTATTTACGGACACATTGGAGACAGGCTGGAGAGCTCACCTGGGCATCATGAGGGCTCAAGGCCAGTGGTCACAACCAGAACTGACACTACACATCAGTGTCAGAAGTGAAAGCAGTTTGCCTGGCTTGCCAGACATTCCACCTTCAGGGCCAGCGTGTGTCAGAATTGACAGACAACATCACTGCAATGTTCTGTGTAAACAAACAGGGTGAGGCTCACCCTTCTCCCCTTTGCCAGCAAGCCCTTTGAACAAGTCCCGCAGTGGGACTTTAACCTGGTCCTTTCCATATTCATGGGCTCCACATTCAAGCCTCGTGACTTGTCCCCTGGCAGGTAGCTTTTCTGGTGGCTATAAACTTGGGCAGAAGGGGCTCCAAGCACTCACCTCTGAGCCCTCCACGCAGTCTTGTATAAAAACTAGGTGTGGCTACACCCTCATTCAACGTTTCCTACCTAAGGTAGTCTCTCTCTATTTCACATGAACCAGGACTTAATTCTACCAGGTATTCTTCCCTAAACTGCATACCAGCAATAGGGAATGAGCACTCCATTTTCTTTTACCCGACGGGTACTGCTAGGGAAAACTCTCCAATGATTGTGCTCATGGCACGCGCTCACAACTACTGAAATGGACCTGAGCACCACATCTCGAAGAACAGGAGTTTTGAGAGGTTGTTCTATTAAAACCTGTTTAGCTCAAACTCTTCACAACACTTGGGAGAGGAGCTGTCTTTGTTAAAGATGCACGTTACTCATCCTTTCAGACTTGATGTATTTCGTATGCATGCTGTTGTGCTAAAAATTCCACTTAAGTGCCGCAGAGCTGCAGCATGTAGGGTTGTTAGCAATGTCACAGCATTACTAGTTTTCAAATGGCTTACATAAGTGCCCAGAACAACTAACTCTCATAGAATAATCATTGCTAGTCTTAAAAAGGACTGAATGGAAAAATAGTTATTCTTGAGCAATTAAATATTTTCAGCTAAGCTTTACCTGCTTGGAGAAATGTTTTGGGCTTACTGCATAACTTGAATATGAAAATGTTTTTAGAAATGGTAAAGTTTTAGATTGAGAATATTGACTAAATTTAGTTTAGTGAAAACCTGAGATTTCTGCAGTGCCTATTTTATTTAAAAATAAAGCTTCCAGTGATTTAAAAATATCTCCAAATATTTCTCTCCTTATTCGTGCTTGCTTTTCAACTTTGGTTAACTCCTCCTTTTGTTCTGCAGCAAAAGGCATCCCAGAGTCCGCAAAAGCCAAGTCCTCTGGACAGTGAGGTAAGAGCAGCAAAACATGTTACTGTGTGAGTTGATTTTATCATTAATTTTGAATACCCTCTGCTGAAACACTTTTGTTGCTTGTGGTGTAACTTTCAGTGGTTAGTTTAAAAAAAAAAAAAAAAACCTATGCAGAAACTAAATAATTCTTTGTGTTATTTATTATAGCAGTATTATGTCATGTTTTCTTCCATTTCATGTATGATTCCTTTGTACTCTGTGTGTTCCGTTGTGTCGCTTTTAGGTGTTTTACCTGTTTATATATAAAATATATTTCATGTTACATTCAAGATTCTTTCTTAAGCGGTCCAGTTGGGTTGATTAACTTTCTGTTGGGAGTACTAAAATAATCATTTGTACTTGTTTTGCAGTCATTTCTGTCCCAATGTCCTCTCTCCCCTTCCTTGACGCATTTCATTATCATTAGATCACTCATTGCCTCTAAAAATAAAGCATCAGAATTGTTTGTGTTTTCAATTAAAAAAAACAACACTTTAATTACTTGGGAAAAAAATTAAAGGTGCGCTCACCATGATGAGGCAGATCTTGGCTTACCAGCAGATGTGATCCAATGGCATTTATTCATTTTCCATATCAGATTTCTGTAGAGTAATAAACAAGTTTTTTGTCCTGTTGAAAGATCATTTCAGTTGGCATTATTAACCAAATCAGAAGCTTTAATGACTGCAGTCCATGGAAAATCTGTTGACAAGCATTTTCCAGTTGACTATATCATGTCAAAATTATGCAAACTGGACTGTTTGAAATCGTTTTTCCTCCTTTACTTACTTGATTTTTTTCTGATTTTTAATGCTTTCTAAGGAGTCCTTTGTAATTCCACAGTAAGAAAAAGAACAGCAACAGAAAATAAAATAATTAGTTCTTGAATTGGTACGAACATACATTCTAATCCACAGATCGTGTTACTACATATTCATACTTTTTTACATGGTAAATTGTATAGCAAAATTGCCCCAGACTGCTATCAACATAATAAAACTCACCATATTCCAGAATGTTTGTGTGAGTTTGTATATTATGTCATTGTGTTGTATGTTTCTGACATTCCTCCATCTCTCCCACCTCCTCAGTGTCCCTTTCCATCCAGAAGGTCTCAGCACACTGATGATAGTGCCTTGTTAGTGGTAAGAACCCTGCACGAAATGGCCTGTTTATGCGGCAGAATCTAGAACATAGAGTTAGCATGATGTTTTGATTTGTTCAGATTAGACAGATTTTTAGAGCTAATCTGAATAGCATAAAACATGACGATCTTCTCTACAAAATGATTTTAAAAATGCTGACACTGTAGACTTCACATTTGCAATGTCTTCCAGCTGCCAAACATTCAGTGAATACACTGAATGTTTTCCATTTTTGCAAAAGTTAACCATTTTGAATAAGAATGCAGTGATATAATTGTTGCAAGAGAACAGTTTCTAAATTGTAGTGTTACTTAAAGAAGATCTGGGTGTAAGATAGAAAGCTTGTATCTCTCACCAACAGAAATTGGTCCAATAAAAGATACTACCTCACCCCTTTCTCTCTCATGTTACCTTATTTACAGTCCAGCTTTCGTGCATCCTTCTATTTGGCTCACCTGCACATTATCTAACACTTGAGTTTCACAACATTAATATGAAGCTTGGAGATCTATACTTCTTCCTTATCTTGTTTGGCTACTATTCATTATTTGATTTGTTGGCTCTAGGATCTTAGCCTACCATCACAGACTATGGTAACAGAAGAGGAAGTTCACAAGTCACAAATTATTCTTTGTTTTTGTTGCACTGTTGGCTAGTGAAAGTGTGTATGAAATCACCAATTCTGGATTTTTTTTAAGTTTTAACATTAAGAAAGCTACTTCATTCATGTTTTATGCTATTCCTTTCATAATACCAGAGAGATTCATAGTAATGAAAGAGTTGAGTTAATGCAGTAGTTTTCTCCTTTCATCTCCTACTGAAAATGCATCAGATCTGCCTGCCATTGCATGACTGCATGTCTCAGATTTATGTTTTTATTACATACTCTTCAGTTGTCTGCCTGGGTGTTCCTGTGTGTAGCCCGGTTATCAACTGCAGTTCAGAAGCATTGAAACTTAATAGTACAGAGGTCAAAACTGTAAAGGTTGCCCCTATTCAAATTGTTTGGGATTGCTGTTAAATCATAATTCTTGGTCAACCTTACACTAAATACAGACCAGATGTTGGAACAACAAGAAATAGGGGTATGTAATAAATTAGAGTTAAATTTAGCTTTTGCTTATAGATATGGTCATGCCTAGTATTAGCTATATAGATCATTATCTTATAGAGTAGAATATCTTTTACTTTTATTCTTATAAAATAAAGGAAAAACTCAACAGAAAAGTTATTTTTCCCCAATTGTTGATGTTCAGTTGTCTGTGAACTTTAAGTATATGGAATATATTTATAAAGCATATTGTAGGGAATCTTTTATATTTGATGGTGTTCAATTGGTGAGAAATTAATCTACTGCATTTTATATGGTGTACCTGATAATTTGGAGATTTCAGAAATGTGCTTTGCATGTTACGTTACTTGGACTTTCATCACCGAGAACTTCTTTTTAATATCCTTACTATGTTCCATCTGAGTATTTTACCAGCTGACAGCTAGGCTAATCAGACTCTTAAATTGGTTTCCTTGTTTTCAAAATTATTATGGTACTCTAGTATTATTTGCCTGAAAATACTGATTCTGATGGATTGTTCATCAAGTTCTGCAGGGTTTTTTTGTACTGAGAATGATCATACTTGTGCATATTGATTATATAAGCCAGGAAAACTGGTTATAAGTAATTGAAACATTGAGCCACAAAGAAATTGCATAATATGTAGCATTTATACTTATAAAAATACTTTTTCTAAAAAAGAACAGATATTTTTTATTGGGCATGTAATCAGACTGCTTCAGATAACTCCAGTTTATAATTCATCTATCACTTTCACCAGACTTAGGAATTTGAAATGTAATTTGTTTCTTTCACTGATAGCTTTTGTACATTGAGCGGGATTTTCTTCTTCCACTGATGTGCAGGGAGCATTACATACTTTTGATGGCTGTTTTTTCCTTGTATTTTTTTCTGAAATGTGTCTCCGTGGACTGGGGAAGAGTAAAAGCTACTTCTCTTTTCTCTGCTTTAAAAAACTATGAACAATTATATGGATCTTGGTGAATTTGACCAAAGTAATTACCGTATTGTGCGCTTCTAAACTTGAAGATAAATTTTATTTAAAGTACTCAGTTTTATTCCAGTGGAGAGTCTAACAATTACTCTTGCTTTATGGGAGCAGTGTTCTGTTTTAAACACAGTGAAGTTTTATGTAGAATTATAATAAAGGCCTTTTGTGTGGCATTTCCCTCATTACGTCAGGGCTCTGCAAACTGAGAAGTTGTTTCTCTTTTGCTGTAAACAATGGTTTCACCTGCTTGAAAGGAAACTGCATGAAAACAGTTGGATTGATTGGAAAATGGAAAATTTGTTTGTTTGCTTTTCCCCCCTTTTAGGTTCTTCTTGCATGCCTAAAAGTGGTAATGGAAAAGGAGCTCAAGGTTGCAGCCTTCTTTTGATGTCTCCCATTATTTCTTGGGCCTCTTTGTAAATGTTGCCCTTTGTGAGAATGGTTGCTATAAGGTTTGCTCTGTGATTTGTGAAATGCTGTAGATTTTCAGCTGCAGTTATACTTGGATCATAAGCTTTTTAGATCAGGGATCATGTTTTCACTGTGTGTACAGCACCTCGTATGATGAGGCCATGATTCTCAGTTAAAACCTGAAAGCGTGACTGCAGTGCAGTAAAATTGTATGAATAAAGTGAGCAGGATTTAGCTGTATTGTAATTTGTCCTTTTGATTTTTCTGACGGTCAGAGATGTGGTGTCCTTTTGGTATTTAAATTATTATTGAATTAACCCATAATCCAGACATTTAATTGCAATATCCTGATTTGTCTAGGGCAGAGTTCTCCTTTTGAATCTGCTCTGCAGTTCCCTGTGCGCTACAATTGTCTTAATGAGGGGAAATTCCCATGACTTCAATAATAAGATTTGGGCACAGAGACCAAGTGAAGAGTTTATAAGCATATTTTAGGAATGAATTGTTGAGCCTGTCACCAAGAGCAGTCTTCTGGTTCCTTTGTCTTTGAATCTACATCTTCCCAAGATGGTTCTTTGCCTCACTTTACTTCTTTCTCTTTTCCTTCTCTTTTTCCTCTGCTGTCCCTGACAGAATGGCTGTGAGCCTCTCTTTGTGTTTGAGATTGACAATAACACCAATACCATTAAGAGAAGGCCGGGAACTCCCAAACAGGTGAAGAGCATGCAATGTGTTGCTGTAGTGGCTGTCTTGCCTTTTGTGTACCATTGTTTCCTCCCTCTTGCCTGCTGATGGGTGTATGATTTGTGAATAAGTCCTTCTATGAGCCTCTATCAGGGATGACTTGCTCTTTTCTTCTAGAAACATACTGTTAAATTAATGGGCAGAAATCCCTTTCTTTAGGCATCATTTAAAACCTGTAGGCTTTTTGTCAACCATGCTCCAAGCTAGAATCAGACCTCATAAAAACCTCTTCCCCCAAATATGAATGTGGGGAGGGAGTTGTCTTGTGGGCTGCTATGATACTTGTGTGTAAGGCTGGCTCTGCGCACAGCTTTTGTAAGGGATGGCTTTTTCTCCTTTTTCTTTTCCTTTTTCCTTTTTCTTTTTCTTTCAAAAGGGGTAGTGTGGTGACAGTCATGTTAAGACTTGGCATGTATGCTTTACATCTAGATAGTTTAAAAACAACAAATGGTCTGGTAGCACTTTATAGACTAACAAAACATGTAGATTGTATCATGAGCTTTCGTGGGCACAGCCCACTTCTTCAGATGACCAGAGTTTTGATTAGATAGTTGTTAGAGGTAGTAACCTTGTATTATTTTGGGTACGTTTAAGTGTTAATTGAGAGTATTTTTGGAAAGTACTGTTCCCATCTTTACTCCTCCAGCTCCTGAGTTGTGCTGCTTGGAGAATACTCACTAATAATTGAAGGATATAGTCTAGTTCATGCCACTTAAAATGTAAGGGCACAGTTCTGAGTTTGTGTTTCATGTGTGCAGGAAAATTTAGGACTGGGTAGACCCACAGTGAAAATGTGGTGCCTTATCCAGATTCCCCTATAACTTGCAGTATTGACACACTTACAGGCCCCTTTGTATGTTGACTCACAGACAAGACTTAGCAGTCAGGGCACATAGTTTGTCTTCATGTAGATGCCTTTATTCTTCAGTAGACTGTATAGGCCATAGCTTTTTCATCACACTCATTGCCCGTTTGAAAGCAAAAGTAACAGCTTGAAGCCCTTAGCAAGTAAGGCTGTCGATTAATCACAAATATTTTTTAATTAATTGTGTTAAAATAATTAATTGCACTGTTAAAAGAATAGCAATTGGAATTTATTTAATATTTTGGATGTTTTTCTAAATTCTCAAATACATTGATTTGTTACAACACAGAATACAAAGTATACAAATATTTGCACTGTAAAAAAGAAACAAATGAAATAGCATTTTTCTGTTCACCTCATAGAAGTACCATAGTGCAATATCTTTATTATGAAATTGTAACTTACAAATGTAGATATTTTTAAAATTACATAACTGCATTCATAAACAAAACAGTATCAAACTTCAGAGTCTGTAAGTCCACTCAGCCCTACTTCTGGTTTAGCAGTTATTTATATTTATGGGAGATGATGCTTCCTATTTCCCATGAAAAAAGGCGTTAATTAAATGTGTGGTTAAAATCCTTGGGAGAGAACTGTATGTATGTCTCCTGTTATGTTTTACTAGTGTTCTGCCATATATTTATGTTTTAGCAGTCTTGTATGATGACCTAGCACATGTTTATTTTAAGAACATTTTCACAGCAGATTGAACGAAACACAAAGCAGGTACCAATGTGAGATTCTGAAAACAGCTACAGCACTTGACTCAAGGTTTAAGAATCTGAAGTGCCATACAAAATCTGTGAGGGACAAGATGTAGAACATGCTTTCCAAAGTCTTAAAAGAGCAACATTCTTATGTAGAAACTACCAAATCTGAACCACCAAAAAAGAAAATGAACCTTCTGCTGGTGGCATCTGATTCAGATGGTGAAAACAAACGTGTCAGTCTGCTGTGCTTTGAATCATTCCCAAACAGAGCCCATTATCGGCATGGATGCACGTCCTCTGGAACAGTGATTAAAGCATGAAGGGACATGAATCTTTAGCCCTTGTGGCACATAAATATCTTGTGATGCTGGCTACAACAGTGTCACGAGAAGGCCAGCTTTCACATTCAAATGACATCGTAGATAAGAATCAGCATTATCCTCCTGCATATTGTAAATGGACTTGGTTGTTTGAATGATTGGCTGAACGAGAAATAGGACTGAATGGACTTGCAAGCTCCAAAATTTTACATTATTTTATATTTCAATGTAGGGTGGGTTTTTTTGTACATAATTGTACATTTGTAAATTCAACTTTCATGATTAAGAGATGATACTGAAGTACTGGTATTAGGTGAACTGAATTACTATTTCTTTTGTTTTTTACATGTCTTTGTGCATGTATTTGTAATAATATATAAATAAAGAGCAAGCACTTTGAATTCTGTGTTGCAATTGCCATCAATATATTTGAAAATTAGAAGATTTACGGGGCATTGCTTGGGTCCTTAATTGAAAGAATTTGTTGTTTTTCTTCATTAAAAGCATCACTCTGGGGTGGGGTTGAGGATAAGGGTTCAGCATGTAGGCTGCCCTGGTGAGAAAGGACATCTCCAGCCCTCTCTCACCCCAGTAGCTTGGAGCCAGGTGAAAAACACCTATCCATGGCTGTTGCAGCCGCATCGGCCACAAGGAGGGAGGTGTGCCTCCCCCCTACTAGGGGACAGACAGACACGCAAACAGACAAATTCTTTCAAATATATACAGTAGTATGTTACTGTCCCCTTCTCCACCCCTGTCTCCTGCTGCCGCAAAGGGGTTATATGTGTCCTGGTCCCATCTCTGGTCATTCTGCAGTGTAACTAAATCTCCCTGCTACCAGACCCCTCCCTTTCTGTTTTATGAGAAACAGGAACATCCCATTGTCCTGGCACAACCAAACTCTGACCTTGCTGTGAGACTTAAGAAGAAACTGCATACCACATTTGGTAATCCTAGCTCTTACCATTGAGGAGTTCTTGAATAAACCATCTCAGAACAGACAGACATACACTCTCTCAGATATATAGTAGATTTAGAAAACATCCAAAAATATTTAAATACGTGGTATTTTATTACTGTTTAACAGCACGATTAGTCGTGATTTTTTTTTTAATCTCTTGACAGCTCTAATAGCTAGTCAGCATGAGGACACCAAATACTACTTTTCCAGACTTTGGGTCCTCAAGCTGCACCTGTTCATTTAAAAGCTTCTACCAGTAAAAATCAAGAACCGCTGTGTAAATGTGAAGAGTAGTTTATCTTTTGCCTCTTTGACCTCTATTGACAAGCTTCATGTTGGACTTCTTCTCTGATAGCCTAATTTCTGTCTCTGGGCTCTTGTTTACCTTACTTTTAACTCACAAATGTAGTTTTTAATTTTCCATTGTGAAAATACTCAGGTGCTGTTATATATGTTTCCTTATTGACACAGTTCTGTACCTTTGCCTTGCAGCCAATTAGATGATGAAGTTTTCCTCACATTCCTGAAGTTACTAGGGAAACAATCTAGTCAATTCAGAATGAAATTTGTATTTTGAAAGTGTCCAAAAATCTGTTTTACTCTGATTAGTGGCTTAAAACCAGCTGTGACAGAAAGAGTAATGTTTTGTCTGTGTCAGTGCACTATATGACTCAAGAGTTTTTTACCACTATGATTTTTCTTAGTTCTGCTTTTGATGTGATCATGTTCTTGTTTTAAAGCAAGTATCTTCTCTCAGGTTCATTGAATATAGTATTTTTGAGGGTGGGAAGATTTTAATTATATTTTAGTTTTAGTAAATAACTATTCAAACATTTTACCTCTTTCCACTAATATCTTTGCAACACTTGAACTTGTGTGAGTACCTGCCCCTTTTTAATCTTACTGGTGCATTGGCTCATGCATATCCTGTCACCTGCTTGCTAACGTTGGTACTGCCTTCTTTCTTTCTGTGTTCAGTCGCTGTCAGGGTTGAATCAAGAGGGCTATGCTACCACCCTACCTCATGCCTCTGCCTTCAGATCTGTCAAGGTATCTTTAGCTATTATTAACCAATAAAAAAGCTTGCAGATCCACAGTTCTATTTTAATATGTTTTAGTCTGTCATTGTCTATCCTGGAATTCAGAAATTATGACTGACCTGATTCAATTGCAGTAGGTTTTACCTTGCTTTATCTTTGGTCATGTCTATAGTGGTCCTACACCATGCAAACATGTTAGTAGCCAGCAAGATTTCAATCCTTGTATGGATTGGTTCTTAGATTCTTGCTGCCTGTCACCATTTCTTTTTCCCTCCTCTTCCATCTACTGATTTGTAGCTTACTAGAAATGTCGTTTTCTAAGTTTAAAAACTTACTTTTATCATATAATGTGACTATCCTGGACACTGTCGTCTGTTATGGATACTTTATTATATTGCATAGTAGGAAGCATTAATCACAAGAAAGCATTAATCCATCATTAATTCATCTTTAATCAGTACTTTCATTACTCTGGGCGTAGACAGGAAAGTAAAGTTTAATTAATAGTAGTTTTGCTCTGGCAAATATTTAGAGTGGGCTGTGCATTGGGATCAGAGCTGCTGTTTTGCATGATATTTAATTGATGTCCCTATTCCCACACTGAAAAATATTCAAACACAGCACTGCCACTGTTGTTTCTAGAAGCAATACCTCTTTCCCCATTTTATTCCTTGAAGAAGGTGATTTACAGCCGTTCTGCAACATAATTCCCTATTGTATATTTCCCCCCCCTTTTTTTTCTTCCTAAAATATGTCTAGGTGGATGGCAGCTTCTGAAAAGCTAGTTACAGCCTGTGTCAGTAAGGATTATTAATGCTCTTCTACTTATTTGTCCACAGAGTGATGACAGATCTACCATATCACCAAGTTCACCTACTACCCAAACAGGTAATAGGGGAGAGGTACAAAAAGGTTAAAAAGTAGGTTCAATTGCTTGCTTGTATAGCTCGACTGTAAAACGTGTCGTTCCCATCTGTAAGCTGGACTGCTGTGTCTGTGGGCCAGATTTGTTAAGTTTTCTGTCGAGTCACATAAGTAAAGAGAGTACAGAGCAGCTGGCATGTGCTGTGGGAAATAGTGGGGCTTCACATGTTCCAGGCTCTGGCATTGGCATTGCCGTAATGGCACATTAAGTACAAAATGGAAGAATTTGTTGGTAAAAGTGTATGGAATATGGATTGCGCATGCAAGTGCTCTTAAAGTAGCCTCTTTCTGTCCCATATTGTTGCCGTTCATGGCTGTAATTTTTGTTGTCATAGGCAGCGCTTGACAAACGGCGGTGAAAGCTGCTCGCCAGCCCCACACTGCACATGCGCAAGAGCCGTGTTGCGCATTCGCGCGCCGCCGGTAAACGGGGCGTGCAGCTGAAATTTACTCACCACGGGCGAGTAGATTCTATAGTTTATCGAGCCCTGGTCATAGGTTATAATTTCATTTTGTTCTTTTAACTACTACCGCACTGAACTCATTTCCTATCAAACCCATAACCTTTTTCTTCTTTTTCCTCCTTGCCTTTCCTGTGCCTTTCCACATTTGTTCAGTCCACCTTTCCTCTCTGTATCCTGGCCCTGCCACTTCTCCTTCATATAGAAACCCTCCCCAGCGACCTGAGAGTTTCCTTTTCCGAGTGGCTGCAAGGGATGAAATGAACAAAGGTAGGGTATATTGCTGGAGAAGCTGGACTGTTACAAAGCTGTGTTAACTTTCAAGTTAACCAATTTGTATTCAATCTTGGCAGTAGCTTTATTCTCATCAAATCAGCTTTAGAGATTGATCTATGGACACCAGGCGTTAAACTTTTATAGTCCTATTTATAATTAGGCCAGTATTTTTGTCCTGGTAATAAATACAACAGATATCGAAGACTATAATGTGCAAATTTGTGAAGTGCGTCTGTTTTGGGAGGAAGGCTTTAGTGCTGTGTTCCCCTGGGTTTGTACTTTCACCTACATAGAGGCTATTGTAATGATGTTTATGTCCCTCGATAATGATGAAGGCAGCTTTCTAGACTTTGCACTGCACTGTAGTACATATCAGAATTTGTACCTTTGCAGTAAGACTGATGAAAGTTATACAAAGCAACATTTCAGCTATTTAAAATTTATCCTTTTTATGAGAGTGTTTAACTGGGATCAGAAACAGCATCCAAACATTGCTTAGATTAATAATCTAATGAAGGAACCTGATTTATGAGTAGAAATGTACTGTACCCAAACTTGCATACTGAGCATGTATAATACTGCAGAAAAGGAATATATCCCAGCTAGACTTGGCATGTCGTTTTCCTTCATGGTGTTTTTCTAGGAGTTGCTTCGTCTCCCTCTTCTGCTTCGTTTCCTCCTAATGATTGTACAGACCCTAGAGCAAGGCAGAACTCCCAGCAACGTGAGGAAGAGCTGGAGCTAATAGAGCAACTGCGGAAGGTCTGTACTGGCAATAACTAGCGTATCTCTTAACAAATTCGCTGCAAGTATCATACCAAAGCTTGGTGTAATGGTTAAGCATTTCGTGTGCTCAGACTGCGCCCATCATGCTAACTAATATCACGTGTCTTTTGACTGCGCATCTGTCTGTGCCCACCTGTTGTCTCTTTGTGTTGTATTTAGAGGGTAAGATCTGTGGACAGGGACTGTCTTTTTGTTCTATGTTTGTATAGAAATTAGCGGCAGAGCTGAGATCCATGACTGGGATTACATTGCCACAATTAGGGATCTTAGAAAGCGGTTATTTTAATGATTGTGTAACTGCTAAATGTCTTGGTGGTTACACGATTACTCAATAACCCCAGGGGCAGGGCCGGCAGCCAGTGCGCTTCCAGCTCCACTCCCGGGGAGCCCCCTGCCATCCTGCATCCAAGCTCCCTGTGGACAGAGGCTGTTTCAGCATCCGATGAAGCAGCTTCTGTCCACGGGGTGCCCAGGCTGTATCAGAGGAAGCAGCCCGGAGTGACAAGCGGCTCCCCTGCGTGCTCTTCATTGAAAACTCAACCAGCAGGCTGGGACTGAGTCTGCCTGCTGGTCTGAATTTTAAATGTGGGGGAGGAGAATGTTGCATTTAACTGGGACTATTAACTGATAAGCAGTCGCTCATCCGTTAAATGATTAGCTGACTAGCTGCTAACATCCCAAGCCACAATGCACATATTAAATTAGAAAAATGCTGTGTTCTGTTATGCTGCTGCTGTGTTTCACCCCAGAGATGGCTTCATTTCTTCACTGTGCAAAGTGATTCTTAGAAGTGTCTTTAAAATGGTTTAGGATTGTTTGGGATGAAAGCTGCCTAGAAATGTAAGTTATTCCTTGACAAAGTCTCAAACAATTACAATAAGATGCCTTACCCATTCCATAAATGCTGATTCTAGCACAGTAGTGAATATAAGCACCTCACCAGAATGGATTATTTTTCCTCCACTCATGAACTTAAAGGAAGCCATAACCCAGCATTTTCTCTAAATATTTTGTAGCCATGTAGTTCCTTTATTCTGTTGATCTGAAAGGACTTTGCATATATTGACTCTTACAATCTACTTCCCAGGTAAGATGGGGTTTTAAGTACAAAACAAAACTCATTTTGCAGATGTGCAAACTGAAATATAGAAGTGTGATTTGCTAAAGGCCATACACTGAATGAAACAAGCTCCAAGCACTCTGTAGTTTGAAATCTCGTCTCTTTCACCAACAGATGTTGATCCAATAAAAACTTAGTACTTCTCCCACCTTATGTCTTTAATATTCTGGGGCCAACACTGTTACAGGCTCACTTCCTTTTTCTGCTTAAAATAATATGTAGTAGTTCAGTTTTCAGGGAAGCTATGCTCTCTTTCCTCTGGTGACTACATTCCACTCCTATACTTTAAAAGACAACTATTTTCATAGTACGTCTATTTTCATAGTACCTGGAAGATGTGGAATGTGTTTCTTGAATCTTGATTACTCACCCTGGGACAGAGCCATCTCGTCCATAGGACGAATCTGGGTAGCCGCCCTAGGCCACTCAGCGGCTGCCTCACTCATCCTATGGACAGGCGGTACCGGCGGTTTAAGGGGCCTGGCTCAGGGCAGCAACAGGGTCACACCTGCCCCTGCCACCACAGTCACATTGCATTGGGATCCAGAGTGACCTGGTAGCTTGCTCCACTGTACTGTGCCGCACTGCCCTCTCCCAGCCGCCTGTGCTCCACTTCTCCCCAGTAGTGGGAAGTAGAGCACTCAGGCCTCTCTGTTGCTTGCCACCATGGAGAAGTGGGGTGCAGTGTGCTGGGACAGTGGCACAGCGAGGCAAAGCAGGTTGCCAGACTCTTCTGGCTCCTGCCACCATAGGGAGTGTAGGGTAGGAGGTGACCCCTGTTGCAACCCCATGTCAGGCCCAGTAATCCCCTGGCTCTTGTCGCTCAGAGGAGGGGCATAGGGATAGAACAGAAGAAGGGAGTGGGTGATACAGGGCAGAGCTAAGAGGGTGGGGAGCCCTGTGGCAGGGGAGTTGCCCTGGGCCCTGTGTCTGGGGCACTGGGAGGGATTTTGCTCCTGGTCCTGCGTGCACACGCACCCACACCCACCCACACACATACATACACACACACCCAGGAGGCCCTGCCCTCCTTGCCCTGGGATTTGTGGCTTTATTTTGAGTAATATTCTTTTTATCTCAGTTGCTAGATTTTAATTCCATGCACCCTAGTGTGACAACTCCATTTATCTTTTAGCTCAGTAGTTTTCAAACTGGGCAGCTGTGAATCCTGGTGGTCCTCAGAATGAAAACTTCTGATAATCAAACCTCAGAGAATTAAGAGAGATGTTGGTTCCTGAGCGATTCTGCTGCTCAGAAATGTTCCGCAGAATAAATAAGTTTGCAAAGAGGAGCTCTGTTGAATCATTTACCTGTTGTCTGATTAGTTTGGTGTGATTCACATTTTGTTGGATCTTTTTTGTTCTTTTGTAGAATATTGAGTCACGGTTAAAAGTGTCTTTGCCCAGTGATCTTGGAGCAGCTCTTACTGACGGGGTTGTTCTCTGCCACTTAGCTAATCACGTGCGGCCTCGATCTGTTCCCAGCATCCATGTCCCCTCGCCTGCTGTAGTAAGTATACCAAGGTGTAATCGTGAGTTGTAGTTGTCTTTGGATCTCATCCTAATGTCCATGTGAGTATCACATGTAGCAGCTTCTTCTGAAGTTGGGCAGACCTGACAATATACCAGTCTCTTTTGCCTAAGCAGAATGTGCAGCAAAGCCATAAAAAAGCTAGTGAGATTTGTGATTGTCCATTTTTATTAGTTACTTCTAACACAGATTCTGTTAATTGAACTATATAGGACTTGAGAACTTTATATTTTAGTACAACAAAAGATAAGAGTCAATATAAGAACCAAAACAGGGTATTTCCAGAGGGTCAAAAGGTCTTAGAAACAGAGAAGGATAGAGAGCTGGGACATGTAGGATTTAAATGGACGTGTGGCAACACAATACAGAAAACATTAAGAAAATAAGGAATCAGAATTCCATCTCAGTTGGACGTGAATAGATTCCTATTGCTGGACCCACTTAAATTACCATCAACTCTTTTTCTTAGGAATTTCGATAGGGCATATTTATCAGATTGTGCTTCAGAGACTTGGAACAACACAGATAAGGGCAGACCTGCACTTGTGGGAAATGAAGGACAGGAAGTTAATCTTCATGTATTCTGGGAGTGTTTGTAGCAGGAAGGATACACAGCTCAAGAAGTTTCTTTTGTGTTATCCGACTGAACATTTTGGGCGGTGCTTTAGAAATTATGGAAAGTAACGCAGGAAAAGTACCTCTCTATGTAACTTCATCAGTGAGAGCCAGACGTGTACTACCAAATACCACATGTGACTAGAGACGCTATGAGAGTCAGGAAATGAAGATGAACCATTTACACTATTGATCCTGTTGTAGCAATTTTGTTGGTTTCTTTGGAGGGCTAGACAACCTAAAAAATGACTTGAAGATCACTGCTTCATGGGAAATTGTCTATCTTCCCTTACTGACTGTAGCAAACCCACATGAGTGCTTCATAGGTTAGACTCCAACAGAGCTAGACAAGACACCTCCTTTTTCTACTTGAAAAATACACTTATATTTTGAATATATCATGTGGATGTTGCTCTCAAAGGCTGATTGTTTGCTGCAATTTTAAAACAAGGTGAATGACTATAAATAATAACCAAAGGGAGTCATGTTAAGTGTTGCTGGAACTTATTTTGGAGCCAGTACTTGCATTAGAACTCTGGCACTGACAGCACGGTGTATCACATCATTATGGTTTGTGTTCCGAGGTGGTGTTTCATCATGCAGATGTCCCTGTAGTTTCGATAACAGACTAAAGGGATATGATGGCATCTTAGGCAGATTATAGAATCGTCAAAAAAGTATACATGTAACTATTACTCGGTAAACTCACTTCATAATGAAGATACTGTCTGTGCCCTGTCATCTGTGGAATTGGATGGTTCCAACTCCCCCTTATGAGCTAAATCACAGCGTTGCCACGAAGCCTGAGTAAGGGGCAGCAGATAGTTGCAGTGCCTTGACAGGAGAATGGGGCTTTATTGTGACTTAGCCATAAGATGCTCTCTGTTTTCCCTCCTTGCACCAGAAGGGGAAAATCTGCATCAACACATAACCTGGCATTTACCTCTCTGTACCAGCTCAGCTGTGCTGTCTGGCACCTTGAGGATGTGGAGCCAAAGTTCCACCATCTTCCCATCTGCCTGCTTAGATGGAGGACTATTAGCCTCTCCGAAGCTCCCTCTCTACTGTTACCAACAGTGTGTAGCCAGACAAGGGAGAAAGGGGCATCTTACGTTTTGCTTCTGCTGTCTAGTCTGCTTTTTCTCCAGTAATAGAAATCTGTGTAAAACGGGTGAAGTTAACCCAAAAATGCCCATTCAAGAAAAATCTGATCAATACAATTTAGAACTCTGCTGTTAACCACAGGAAACACAATTGTGAGAAACTTAGGCAGCACTTTCCATTTTCTCTGGTTTCATTTGGCTCTTTTTGTACCTTGTTGTTAACAGATATTTTTTAAACATGCGTATAATTTTAATCATTCGGAATAGGCTCCAGGTTGCTTCACATCATAAAATTGCTCTGACATTCAAAGATCACTGTACTGGAGCAACGTATGAAATGTTTTATTCTAAATGTACTTTTAAGATCAGGTTATTGCAGCCACTCAAAATAGACTCCAAATGTGCAGCCTGTCGTATAACAGTGTGTGTATATTTTGTTCAGATCAAAATACTCTTTCCATTAAAATGTCAGTCTCAGCACTTCATGAGTTAGCTTTTCACTTAGTGCTTGCCTTTTTAAGGGAATGTCCCATCATCCTGTAACAGAGCTCTGTTTTGAATTGGACAAGCATATGTCATTTTTGGCCTGCAGATGTATTAGGAGTTTGTTTAACCCAAAAGCTTTATTTTTAAAAACCTGCCAATTAAGAAGTTTGTATGCCTTCTTCCCCTGCTTCTTTGCAGCCTAAGCTAACAATGGCAAAATGCAGACGAAATGTGGAAAATTTCCTGGAAGCTTGCAGAAAGATTGGTGTGTCTCAGGTAAACTCTCTTCTATTCCTGTATTGTGAGTGTGCTGTCCTGTATGGTACTTTACAAACAAAGGCCTTTCTGAAATGCTTGGGGACAATGCAAGTGTGTAAAATTCAGTAGGCTCACCTGTAAGGTGTATATAACAACACAGAGCTGATTTGGTTTTGCATTGTTTCAAGAAGCAAAAGAATTGCTATAATAGTTTGCAAAGAGCATGCTTCACTTAGTGATCTAGATAAAATACACTGTGATAGGATTCAGTTTGATTCTGTCAAGTAGAATGAGGAAGTTCAGTAAGAATTTTTGAAAAAACATAATTCAGGTTTTCTTGAAACCATATGTTTGGTGTTAATCCAAGAAGCTTTAAAAATAAAAAAACATATATAGTTTTGGGTGCCCCTCCCTGGTAGCAAGGGCTCTGTTCTGCTCACAGCAAAAACTACTGTGCAGTTATTTTATATGAACACTTTGATTGTCTAAGAAGAAACCATGATACTGGTCTCTGATGGGTAGTCATCAGTGCATAGATCGCCACTCCTTTTGTTATATATTCTTGCTTGCAAGCTCTAGTACCTTCTGGAATTCCTCTTCTTCCAAAACAGTGCACATTCACTCTTGGGGCATACACAGTATAGCACAGCATAGTCCAACTGTCTTTTCTTTTTCTTTCCCTCCTTCCCCACTTCACTTCCGACACTAGCTATGTTTCAGTGCAAACGTTTGATGTTTTAATAGCAACTTGTTCTGTTTTGCTGCTGCTTTTCTTTCTGATACATTAATTGCTATGTTTCCTTACCTCACAAAATAAGCGTTAGAATTTATGTTGCTGTTTTGCTTCGTGGTATTTTTTTCCTATTTGATATTTGAAAGACATTGCCGAAAGGGAAAATTGGATCCAGTGCCTCAAAATTATTCTGACAGTGATTCCTGGACAGTCACTGCTAAAGCAGTGTTTGCCTGGATTATGTAATTGATAACTTCATTTGCAAGATATAATACAGCCGATTCCCCGAGTCAGCAAAAACTCAAGCTAAAAACCTTATTTAGCTGCTTATTAATCTCTTAAAACCCAGTGGTGCATGAGGTTGGAACATTTTAGTGAATAATTCACTTTTACTTTGGAGTGCTGCACTACCTACGTATGCTGAAGTAAATCAGTCCCCCTCACTTTGTCGGTCTCCAAGTGGCTTCATAATCCACAGAGTTCAAGGGAGGCGACAAGTGACATAGTAAGTCGTATCTAAGCTGCTCACACCTGTGCACTGAATACAAGTCCATGGTGTAGAGTAAGACTCCATTATGTTAGTTCTGCCGTGATGTATGTAGGTACACAGAGGCAGACAAGGCTGATCTACCTAGAATCTGATTATGCTCTCATTCCTCCTGCACTGAGCTTCAAATTAGAGTTCCTGAAGGACAAGATCTTTATGGGTATTTAGTTGAGTGACCTCCACCTGAACACTAACCTTACCCTCACGTCTTCTGTGCCCCTGAGAAGGTGGGATGTCTGTGTGACAATGTCTGTGTCGTGTGTTTTTATTGAACCAATGCCCGGGAGTGTCCCCTTTCACTTACATTCTCAGGTTGCAGAAATAGGTCCATGCTCTGAGACATCTATGTGCAAATACTACCTTTTAAGAGGGCAAACTAGTTACCTGTAATTACTGTTCTCTAAAGGTAGTATCTTCCATAGAACCACCCTCTTCTTTCAGTATTTCAGTGGAATAGTCATGTAAGACTGTGTGGCTGTGTCTACATTGGCACCCTTTTCCAGAAAAGGGATGCTAATGAGACCAGTCGGAATTGCAAATGCCGCGGGGGATTTAAATATCCCCCGTGGTATTTGCATGAACATGGCTGCCGCTTTTTTCCGGCTCGGGGCTTTGCCGGAGAAAAGCGCCAGTCTAGACGGGATCTTTTGGAAAATAAAGCCTTTTCCAGAAGATCCCTTATTCTTCTTAAATTCAGGAATAAGGGATCTTCTGGAAAAGGCTTTATTTTCCAAAAGATCCCGTCTAGACTGGCGCTTTTCTCCGGCAAAGCCCCGAGCCGGAAAAAAGCGGCAGCCATGTTCATGCAAATACCACGGGCTTAGAGGTCTTGGAGCAAAAGAAACTTACAGTTGGACTATATGATATGCTATATTTACATCTATCCATCATTGCATATAGTTGGTGCCTCTGTTAGAGGGAGGTGAAAGGTCCAGAAATGCTGATGATTTTAGAACACTTAAGCCATTTTATCAAATACTTGGTGTCTATGCAGGATACTACAGTCAGAGATCAATTACAGGTAAATAATCAGCTCTGTTTGTGCTATTTTGCATAATTTTACCAGTTACGATATGGATTAAGCATATGGAGCATGAAGACTTATACAGCGCTAGTGGTAGTTTACGAATACTTATCCAATTTATTCCTGAGTTCCCAAATAGAACTGGTTTGAACTAAGACTTATGCCAACTGTCAGCTGTTTTATTGAAGAGATTTTATTCTACATGTAAACTAGACTGACAAACTGCTGGACACACAATGCATATATGGAAGGTCTTTCAGATTCCTTTGTGAGAATTAACCGGTTCTAATATACACCTTGAAACTGTTGGATGTATTTGAGATGTCTGATGACTGATGCTTCATGGATGCTTGCATGGTTGATCAACTGACTCTGTTTTTCTGTCTGTTTTCCCTTCCTGCTCACACACTTTGGACAGGACAATCTTTGTTCCCCTTCTGACATTCTTCAGCTAAACCTCAGCGTTAAAAGGACAGTTGAAACTCTTCTTTCCCTGGGGACAGATTCAGAAGAATCCGCTCTTGTCTTTCTTTCCATCCAGCTTTGGGGCTTTGTGGCATTTTACTGCACTCTAATGCTAACGCTCTGTATGTTCTATCGCTGGGTCTTTTTCCTCTAGCTGAAGGACAGTGGTGCTGCCGACTCGTTACATCTCTCCAGCAATTGGTAAAGCCTTTTGTTTTTGTCAAGAACCATTTGTGTAAGTGCATTTTCTGATCGTTAGTCGGCGTTGACATGTACAATGTAAAACACTCTTTGGTACACTCCCATGATAATCTGGGACATTGTTACAAGTTTGTATTTGTGATGTGTAGCAAGCATTATTCTTACAGGAGAGGTATTGCTGTCCAGTGGCTAGAGCAAGGGGTTCAGGTTTAGTGCACTGGGTTCTAGTCACAGTTCTATTGAATAGCTCTGTAATATGGGAAGATCACAGCTCCACTGTACCTCAGTTTCCCCATTTGTCAAATGGGAGTACCACCCACACTTCTAAAGTGCTTTGAGTTCCTGTGACAAAAAGTGCTAAATACACGTGCAAAGTATTGTTTTTTCCTTAAATGTCCATGTGCCTGGTTACATCTGACTGTCTTAGTAGATCTGGCCTGGTTCTTTGTATCAGGAGTTGCTCTTAGAGCTTTTTCATGCCAGTTTCCTTAACCCTTCTCTTGAAGTCTTGGATTTCCTGTATTGTGAGGTTCAGAATAGCCTCTCATTTGACTAAAATTAGGCTGAAAGTGAATACCAAGCTGCTTCACGTGACTAATACACACAGCGTGGAGAGTGTGTAGAGGAGCAGAACTTCTTCAACACTGGGAACGAGATGGGCTGTCTTTAAATCCCATCAGAAACTTCAAAAGTGTCATGCAGTATTTCTGTGTTCCTCATATCAAACTTGATTAGTGTGACCTCCTGGTTATTCTTTGCATCATAGAATCTTACATCATAGAATTATGAGCTACAAGCTCTAATACCTTACTTTTCACTGTTTCACAAAACTCAGGTAATCTTCCATGAAGTTGCAGAATTTTTCAGCTGCATGCTATACTCTGTTGCTTGCATGCATTGCTCAGGGAAACCGTGAGCCATGAAATTGGTTGTCAAAAGGAGCAAAGCCCGTCCAGCTTGTTCTTATGATACTAAATCTATTACCTGCCTTTTTCTGTTGTTTGCTTTTGTTTTACTGGGACTGTCACCGGAACTCTGTATTAGAGCCCCATCTCCTTCAGGGTATGTCAGCAAAAGTAGATGGATGCTGATCGATTCTGTTCCAACATTTGCAGAGCTGCTACACGGAGCTCCCTGTTTACCTTTTTTTCTGGGCAGTATTACTTCACTTGGTGCTTTTCAGTCACTGGTACTTCATCTTTTCTAGCTTGTGCCCAACACACCTCGGCCTTACCTAGTAGAAGAGTTGCTGTGTCACGTGCCAGTGCACCACGGCCATGCGTCTCCATTTGCAGGGTGGGGAAGGCTCCTTCCCAAACCAGCGCCGTTTGGTAGAGTTGTGTTTGGAGCCCTGCAAGCTCTATTCCAGGATAGACCAGTCGCGGTTGGATGGGAACTGGTGACAATGATCAGTTCAGCTTTACTCCAGGCCCAGTTCTTCAGTTGTAACCCACTTAGGCTGGGGACTCATTACCCTAGTTTTTAATCCCAATTTGCCTCATCTCTCGGACTCGGTTATTTAATGTTTACACTGAGTTCCCATTCTGCCCCTCCACTTGAATCAAGTTGGAGTTCCAAAGATGTCTGAGAGCTGCAGGGGAGGCCACATCTCCCCAGCGTAGATTGATTCAGTAGACTGTATTCAGAGACCATTACAAGTGAGTATTCAGCCACATGTCTTTTCTCAATGTGTCATGAATTCCTCTTACTTCTAAGAAGCACAGTAAATAGCTCTGAAATCCAGCTTAGCTGCTGCAGTCCCTTGTTTCAGCAGCATTGACAGAGTAGCACGTCTGAAGCACAGAGATGAGTTGCAAAATGCAATCATTGCCGTTGAATATGTTTCTTAATACGCCTGGTCTGCTGAGCCTGGGGAGGAAAGCAGGACTAACTAGCCTGCGAACTGCTTGCCTCGTGTCCGGATCACAGTGTGATTTGACACAGAACATTCCTGTCTGGGAACTCTGCCCAAGGAGAAAGTGCTTGGGGTTTTTTTCCCACAAAAGGCAGGATTACAGTTACTTAAAAATTGACTGTTGAAGCTATTTTTGCACTGTTTCCTGGTATGGACTAAAATTAACTCAATTGCCTGTGTTAACTTTTCTTAATGAACACTGTGATTAAAAACTGCAAGGGTTTACAGTAATGGTGCCTTTCAGTGTAAGCCTTTTTGTCTATCATGACTACCTCTGTGGTATGGATTCATTTCAAATCTTTTCCCCTATTTGTTTATAAACTTTTAAAAGGCTGAAATCCAGGTATTGTGTTTAATTGTGCTTTTCACTGGTCTGAGAGGGACACCTCCTTTTTTATTGGACCTGAAAGTACCAGTCTGAGATCTGTCTGGCTGATTCATTATGTCTCCTGGCAAGGTCTCCATGTCCTGGCTTTGATAGCTCATATGCTGCCAAGAAATTGAAGATGTTTTTTAAAGTTTTCATGGAAGATGCAGGCAGTGTAGAAAATCATTTGCTGTGTGCATATGTAAATAAAAGCATTAGAATTCTCCATGGTTTTATAGAGTGGCCAAATTTAGGGTATCAGGTGTTTTTAAGGTGGAAATGAAAGATCTGATTCCACATTTGATTCTACCTGGTTGCAGCCCTGCACAAAGCCTCATTGAGGTCAGGGTGACAGCCTCTATGGAGCTGGTTCGTTAAACTCATAGCATACACATGATAGCACAACTTAGTAAATGCCTCGAAAGCTCGTTCCACACTAGATACTTTAAATACTATTGCTTAATTAGAGTGCTTTTCTGAGGTGATTTGTGTTAAAAAAGTGCCTGTGAAAGATGAATAATTGGTTGCTAAAAATGACCTGTTTTTATTCATATTTGGAGGATATTTTCCTTTACAACGTTCCTGGTAATTCCTCGTTATATTCTTTTTAACAGTAAGAACAGCCTGTTTTACATTTACCTTTTCAGAGGCCGTTCAGGCATGCATCTGAACAAGTCCCTCTTTTGCCATAAAGCAACTTACATGCTCGTCTGGGTTCGTCTTTCACATGGCTTTCTGCTTTCACTCTCAGTAGGAAAGATCAGACCAAAAGTGTTCTATATTATTTTAAGAGGGTTTTTGTGAAGGTCGTATATCTCTTCCTGTTGACAAGAACTGCTGTTAAGCAAACAGATACTTTTCAGATTTATTGCACAATATTTCCAAAGCACATGCTAATCTCTCAGCATATGATAAAAGCTTTAAAATATGTGATGGTGCGTTCATATCTGGTAGCTGAACCACAATATTGTGAGAACTCCTCCACATCTTTCTTGTGTCACGGAAATGAAAACACCAGTCCTGTTGTATTTGATCTGTGATCATGTTTACCAGATTGAAGTAAAGGCTCCCCTCCCCGCAGTCAGTCCAGTTCTGATTTTATTGGTGATGTTATTCAGTGGGGGTAGAAGCAAATGTGTGACTTCCCTCTTCTCGCCTTCTCTTCTGAAAACTCTTCTTATTTGTACATTTTTTTTCATGAGTGCTGATGAATAAACAAACAAAATGATTGTCTGAGAGTTTGCTGGTTTGTTACCCTGGTGTGACATTTACAGCTGGCTTATCTGTAGGTAACGAGTTACTTCCTTAGATATTTTTGTTCAGGTGTCCATAACATTCCACATTTTAGTCTCCTTCTGCTTGTTTAATTTGCATTTTTCTTTTCTTTTCAGTTGCGTGTTTTTCATCCTTTTTCTTTGTTTTTGTCCGTCTGTTGTGTTTCCCCGTGTAGGACCGATTATGTTTGCCTCTGCATATTTTAGAAGAGAAGGGTTTGGCACAGGTAGCAGTGACAGTCCACGCACTTCTGGAGCTCGCACCCCCAAAGCAGCAGCATCACCACTTGTCTGCTATGTAAAGATCACCAGGACCTTTTGGTTTCCCTTGGCTAAGCAGAAGAACATGAAGACTTTGCTGCTGCTGCAGTGTATCCAAACACACAAAGCTCTGTTCTGAGAAAGAAATTAGCTTCTGTAATTCCTGACAGGAATGTTTTGCTTCATTTCTCCACTTTTTTTGGAGATCACATCAGTTTTCATTTAAATTTTTACCAATATTTCCCCTTTTATAAAGTGATGTTTATTCTTGGGGAAACTTCCTTTGGTTGCTTAGAAGCATCTGTTAAAACTGACTATGTAGAATTGTGGGATTTATATATATAAATATATATATACAGTTTGAAAAACTGTAAGAGTCCTAGTAGGATTTATTTACAAAAGGGATGTTTCTATTGCAACAGAGTGATGGAGACTTCTTGTCCTCATGAGTCCTAGACAGAGTTTTTATGCATCTGTCAGCCCTCTCCATTACATGTAAAGTTCACAGGTTAAGACTGCCTTTTGAAGCTGATGGTTCTCAGTTTTTCAAAGCAAGACTGAAACTGAAGCTTTAATCTGGGTTGGCATATCTCAGTATTTAAAAAGTGCTGGGGTGGGGGCGGGTTTCCAGGGAAAACATACCACTTTTTACATTCATTAGGAACACACATTTCAGTGACAGATACTAAATTTTAATTATTCAAATATTTGTATTAAACAGATCAAAATACGTGCTGGCTTTGAACTTCCATTGGTTATAAATCTATTTTTGTGTGGAATCTTCCCATTTCAGTGGGAAACCTTGTACCATTCTTCAGACCCTCCCCTACCAATCATGAGAGTTACTCAGTTACTAAATGGTAATGTTAAATTGCTCTATGGCTTGTATCTGCTGCAAATAATGCCTGAAAATTTTCCAGTGTGGAATCAGGTACTGATTTGCATTCCAGTGCAAATAATCATAAGTTATTAAAGGTAGAGACCATTAGAGGTCTGTTATCCAATTATGTTTTCAGTTGAAAACAACACACAGCCATTTATGCCAGTGACGATCCCAATTGTATAGGAACAAAGTATTATAGGAAAGTGATTATTGAATTCCAAGATTGGTTCTGTGTGTTGGGATAACACTCAACTTTCAAAGTGCCAGACTTTTGCAAAATGAAATTTGTCAGTGGGGTTGACAGAATGCCTTCATAAGTGTGTTTTCTTGTTCATGCAGTGGTACAAAATGCCTTTACTTCCCTTTCCTTTCCCCCCAAAAGTGGAAATTCAAAATATGTGAAGGAGAAACTGAAAATAAAGGTCTGTTACGTGCAGAGCTCAGACTTCTGTGCTGTGTTGTCTCCCCCCCTCTCCTCTTCAACTAGGCTGGTCACAACCGGTGCTTCAATTACGGTGTTTTTTTTAATACTGGTGTTTTAAACACCCTTTTCTCCCGCTGTGAAATCCTCGTGTTGTTTCTGGGGTCACCCAGAAGGCACTTCTGCCATTATCATAGATTGCATGTGACATGAAGAAGACACGTAGAATTTGTGGTGTTCCATTCTGGGATGTTGTTAGTGAACCAGTAATACCAAGAGGTTTTCTGAAGAGATGAAGTGAGAGGAAGAAATGGAAAAAAAGGTTAGTTAAACATTTTCTGTGCTGTAATAAGCCTGATCATGGGAACATCTGAGCACAGAAGTCTGGGCTTAGCTGTATTTTTTCTTTAGATTTGTCATTCCATTCTCATCCTGATTTGTTTGCCTAATAATTATTTCGTGGTTGCGTATGGTAACTGTTGTCTTGCTGATTTCACACGTGGATGTGTTTTGCTTCATATTGGTGATGACATCACTTATCACACATCCAGAAAAACACGTGACGGATACTGAAAACTAGAGCCGCACCGTTGCTAAGAGAAAATATTTTCATAATATGTTTCTGGGAGTTCGGTGTATGCCAGTAACTGGCGTCAGAAAAAGGAAGAGGTACACCACCCACCAGTCAATGGGGAGGTGGGGTTTCACAGCACCTTGTCCAAGGGAAGGCTTGCAAAGGACAGAGCTGGTGCTTTCAGGACTATGTGGAAGTGAAAGGAGACATGTTTTATTGTAGACTCTCCCACTCGTTGAATTGAGGGGTAGCTTTCTGCTATCGTGCTGCTGACACTATCGACCAGAGTGCTCAAACTTCATCATGACCCCCACATCTCCTGAGGCAATGGTGCTAATTCAGATATATCTTGGGAGGAGGGTTGCTGATGCCCCTTGTCCCGCACTCAGCTCCTCTCCTAAACCGTTCCATCCCACCCCACAGCCAGCCCTACCCACAGCCACTCCCCGGATACATGGGAAGGAAAGAGCACCTAGGATGGAGGGCTTATTTCCACCAGACTATGGAGTCTTCTGCAAGCAGCAGAGACTAGTCATGCCCCAGCCAGTTCCATGCACCCCAGGATGGGACCATCAGCAGCCTCCCCACATCCCCTCCTTACCAATGCCAGGCTTCTAGCAATACCAAGTGCAGCTGCTGTGGGTTCTGGCTGAAGGACCCAGCAGGCAGAACAGGACTGGGTGCCAGGTGCATGACCTCCAGAGTCCTTTCCTTCCTCAAGTTGCTTCTTATGACTTCTTTCTGATGGCTCAACATTTTGCAGCCCCTACTTTGGGACACACTGATGTATACAGTTCTGCCATAGACCATAAATGTTTCCTTGTGGGCTATCTACAAATCACTGTTAAAGGACAGTGACAAATTCATCTGAATTCTCAGTACTAGACATTTTGTAGTCCATGTACCTGGCTAATTTTGTTTCAATATTGCATCCTCCTTTAGCGATTGATCAGCTTTAAAGAAATCTGTTAAACTTAATGTAGAAGTATGAGAATCTGTTATTTGCTCCAGTCTAGCTTCCTGGACCTACGGAAAGTGAACCGTAACAGCATTCAGGTTGGTACAAGCTTAACATTTCATAAATGTTAGTTTTTAGAAAATTAATAATTTGGAGTTTGTCTGATTTTCAGTATATGGCCACTTCTTGCTGTGTAAAATCAGCCACTATCACCCACAAATGTGTGTAGCTGAATTTTACATCAGCAACTGTGCTTGCATGCCTGGTCAGGCATATGCTCCTATTTCCTTTACAGTTCTAAACAAACATTTCACTCTATCAGATTCATGTTTGTGACGTCATGGCGGTTTGACTCTGATCTTGTGCCTTTCATGCTGGCAAACGCTAAACTTTGACCAGACATTGAGGACAAAAAGCGAAGTCTGAAATGTCATGATACAGTTTATTTTTTATTTATTATACCAAAAAACACTTCAGCTTTCTGTTGTGATCAAGTGAGTTGAGATTTTTTGGTATATTTATGTGCAATTTTGTTATACCCAGTGAAAAAATATTTTAAAGAAAACACATTGGATTTCATGTTGTGTGCTAAAGCAAGAATAATTTCTTTCCTTTTTGGGGGTGTTGGTGTTGGGGAAAAATCCATGTCAAAGTTTAGAGCTTGCTAGTATGTTTGTATGAACTACGCTGTGATCCTTACACAAACCTGGTCAGGCACTGAAGAACCTTGAGGATCGATAATGATACAAAACAGAAATTCAAATGGCACTGGCACTTAATGGTCCTTGATGGTATTAAAATGATCTAATGGGGAAAATAGGGGGTTTTGATTTCTCCTCATTGGGAGCCAAGGACGGGGAAAGCTTGTTAGGAAAGGCCCTTCCTTGATGGATTATTACATTCTAGACAATGTTCTACAGCACTAAGAACTTTTCAGTTGCTCTTCACAGTGACGTGATAACTGGTTATGTTTTATCCTTTTATGACTAAATGGTTCTTTGAAATTTTTGTTTTAGAAGCAGAGGAATTTTATGGTGGATTTGAACATTTAAAAATATTTTTTATAGGATATTGTGGTGTTTTACAAAACAATCCCAATTCTGTTTCTGAAAACCTTGTAAACGTGTAATTAATAGATTAAAGGAGTTTTAAAGTTCCTGCCTATGTTTGTATGTCTGTAAATACATTCCATAAAGACTGTTAAGTATAAATGTCAGAATATTGTGTACTTTATATTAAATTGTCTGTATGCTGGTAGTTGTGTGAACTTCTAGCACACTGATGATATAAAACAAATGCCTTGGTAATTTGAAATAAAGTTTTAAAATCTATGTGAAATATTTCTTCCTCCTTACATTTACTTGTTGCTTCCTGTGTATCAAGTGTGTATTTACTTTCTGAATTGTCAGGTTTATTAAGAGAGGATTTTTTTCTGGTCATCTTAGGAGGTTTGTATAGGAGAAATTGTTCTTTATGCATAACGACCCAACAGCCAGTGTAGGAGACTGTGCATGTTTGCACTCACTATGTCTCTTTCAGCAGATGTAATGAGAACCTGTTTCTCTACAGCCTTTCTAGCCACTCCCCCTGAGAGAAACTATAGTGTTCCTCAGAATCAGCCCCGTCCATTCTTAGACGTTAGTGTGGCCTGGTAGGTCACGTGGGCAGTTAGCCACAACCGGTGCACAGCTGCTTGCTCTATTACATTCTCAAGTTATTTACCCTGTCTGGTTTGAAATTCTGTGAAGTTTGTACCAGGATTCCATGAGCCTCAATAATAGGAACTGGCCCAAAATGTTTGTTCATCCTTTCCTCTCTCCCCCGTAACTAGAGTTTATAGCAAACAAGTGTGAAGTCCAAAGGTTGCCAGCAGCCACAGAACTACCGACATTGTTTCATACGTGCTGCTCTCCCTCCCACCCCACCTCCAGCTGGTCTACAGTACTACCACGTTATCTGTCCCCTTCTCCGTGTCCCTGCTTCAGATCCTTTGACTGACTTGACTTTTGCATCAGTTTTCGGGCTCCTTATTTTCACCTTCAGGTCCCTGTACAAAGGCCTCCCTTTGCTCTGCCCAAGCCTCATGATCTAATCACTCTTGTATGACCCACTCTGCCAATCATTGAGCTTATGTCCAGAAGGAATCAACACCCAGATCACCTAGTTTGACCTCTTCTACCAGACCAATCTCAGTGTTTCCTTTGGCCATCTATATCTGGCCTCCACCTGTTCCTCTGTATGCCTCCTTAAAACACACGTCCTCCAGAAGATGTCCTTCACCTCGTCTCTCACATGGAGATGTTTTAGGTTTGGATGCCTGCCCGATCTTCCGCTGCAAAATCCAAAACATGGTGGCTCTACTGCATACCATACTAGACTCTATCTTTCACTCATGGCAGCTCTTTCCTGGCCTTTTTTCATGTAAGATTGTAAGACTTTCAAGGCAGATGTCTTCTCTTCTGGCCATCAAGCATCTGTTTGAACGTTGTGGATGTAGACGGGTGGAGACGAGGCCCCTTAGAGTTCACAGGCAGAGCTGGCTATAAATTAAAGACTCTCAGGTGCATGAGTTCTAACTTGTTATAGGTGAAGCAATTACAGCCCTTGCCCAGCAATAATACATTTTCCTCTCCTTACACCAAGAACTTGGTATATTTTGAAATCTTTTTACATTTTTGAAGCATTTCAATGCTGAGTAAAGTGACACAATTGGCAGCCCTGAAGAGTGAAGTCCTCCATTTTTATTTACAGACTAGAAGACTTACCTGGGGTTCCTGGGTCCTTCAAGGCAGGGGGATGGGGGGGTGCAGGAGTCAGGGTAGGGCCTTAGAGATGTAATGGGGGCAGGGCAGGACGTTGAGGGAATGGGGGGTGTGAGAGTGAGGGTTGAGCAGTGAGGAGGGCCTCAGGGTGGGGGTCCCATCTGGCAGGGCTTTCTCTCTCCCCCTCCCCCAGCCCCCAGGGACCTGCTGTCTCTCCACTACCAGTGCTACAGCCAAGGAGGAGAAAGAGGTTTGAGCAGGGGGGCTACTTACCTGGTTTGGTGGTAGGAAAGATGGTGGAGCCCAAGCCCTGTTGGCCACTCTCTTGGTGGTGAAGCTGCTCCCCAATGGCCACTTTGCATATAGCTCTCCCCTGCGCTCACTAACCCCAGTGGCCACTCCCAGCATTGTGCCCCTCCTCTCTGTGCTCCTCCCTTTCACGTCCCTCTCCTCTCCCGGCCCCTCCCCTTCCATGTTATGGAAAACAGTCCCATTCTTGGCACTTCCTGTTTTCCAGGGACAACCAAACCCTGACCATGCTTTAAGTCAGAGTAAGAGGAAGCTGTCTACCAAATTTGATGGCCCTAGGTCTAACTGTTTAGGAGGAATTCTTGAACAGACAGACTCACAGACTGATAGACATTTCTAAAATATATAGATGAGGGACAGAAATAGTTGACTCTCTTTAGTCCTAGAAGTCTCTGCTGAAATCGCAATCTTGCATGGCAGCCGTGTGGTGGGGGGTTTTGTGCTGAAGATACTTGCATAGTGAGAACTTCAAGGAGACCTTCCATATTCTTTTATATAGCTTATTGGAAAGTCATTGTATGCAGACTGTCAGCTGCTTACTGAAGTAGGCTGAATTTAGACAAGTAGCCTAGAAATGACCCTGCCTGTCGCATAACTAATGCCATCCTGAGCTATTAGCATTGTGACCATGGCTAGCGCATAGGGTTGCCAGATGGTTGAACCAAAAATACCGAACCCTCTCTCCCAAAAAAAAAATGGGGGAAAAAATTCTGGTGCGGGGAAAAAAAGGGGGGAGACCAAAGTTGTTGAGCAAAAAAAAAAAATTAAATATTAAAACAGCATGGCTCCTCTCTGAGTGAGTGCAGAGTTAGATGTCCCCTTTTAAGAGTGAGAGCGGTTGAGCGGCTTCCCCTAAGTCTTTTGGCCGGCAGCTATTTTGTGCTGGCAGCCTTGAGGAACCAGGTAAGCATGGGGGCTGGGGTGGGAGTGGGAGAGGCCAGGCGCTGAGTGTTTGTAGGGTTGCCAGGTGCCCAGAATTTTCGCCTCCTGGCCGGGGAAAAATTCAGAAAATACCGGACATCTCAGGTGTCCAGTATTCTCTGAATTTTTTTTTACTGGACAGGAGGCGAAAGTACAGGACTGTCTGGGTGAATATTGGACACCTGGCAACCCTACTAGCGTAGTGACAAGGAGAGGTGGTGAATGTGCCCAGAGGGCCTTTCATTCAGGTGCATTTTCAAGCCTGGGAACAGGGTGTGAATTATTCCCAGATGATGGACTAGTTTAAGGCTGCAGAAAAATCTTGAGGGGCATTTCATTCCAGCTTCTCGTGCTCCCGGGGGACTAATGTGTGTGCACAGCACTAGGCAGGTTACAAATGTCAGTAGCTGATTGCTAAGCTCTAAATCAGGGTGGACAAAACATGATCTGCGGGTTGCATCCGGCCCACCAAGCCACCAGCCCAGCCCATGAGCCTCAGCCAGCTCCCTGCCTGCCTCACGCCTGCTTGGCCCTCAGGAAAGCCGGCTGCTGTGGGGCCATGTGCTTGTGTGAATGCTGAGAGCCCGGGGGAGGGAGCTGAGGCTTCCTGCAGCTGCCGCTTTGCAGGACAGGCAGCATGTGAAGTGCCCCTCACCTAGGGTTGCCAGATGGTTTAAACAAAAATACCGAACACTTCTCCCCCCTCCCCAAAAAACAGGAAAAAAATTCTGTTGAAGGGGGAAAAAGTGGGGGGGACCAAACTTGTTGAGGGGGAAAAAAAAAACTCCAAGGACTTGTTAAGCCAAAAAAAAAAGTTTAAAACATTCAAACAGCATGTCCCCTTTAACAGTGAGTGCAGGGACAGGAACAGGGGAGTGGTTGAGCACTAACACCCAGGGGAAAGCATTGCTTCCCCTAGGTCTTTTGGTCGGCAGCCATTTTGTGCCTTGGGGAACCTGGTAAACATGGGAGCTGAGGGTGTTGGGGGCCAGGGAGGTGGGGAAGGCCGGGAGCTGAGTGTTCGTAGGGTTGCCAGGTGCCCGGCATTTTCACCTCCTGGCTGGGAAAAAATTCAGAAAATACCGGACATCCCAGGTGTCCAGTATTCTCTGAATTTTTTTACTGGACAGGAGGCGAAAATACCGGACTGTCCGGGTGAATACCGGACACCTGACAACCTTACCCTCACCCTTGGGCTCACAACATTCCCAGCAGCAAACATGGCCCCTGTAGCTGCAGTGAGCAGTACAGGGGCATGGAAGGCAGGGAGCCTGGTTAAGGAACCTGCTGGGCTGCTGGCTGGGAGCCGCCTAGGTAAGGTCTCCCAGCCAGAGCCTGCCTCTGGGCACCTCAGCCCCTCCCTCCAACAACCCTTGGCCCTCTCCTGCACCTCTACCCCATGTAACCAAAACCTACACCCCTGCTCCAACCCCCATACATCTTCCCAGACACTGCATCCTTCCTTAGGTCACAACCCAAATCCCTGCACCCCGCCCCATGTTACAACCCCCTCCCAGACCCTGCACCCTCCCCCCCGCACTCCTGCCCCAGGTTATGACCCTCTCCCAGAACCTGCACCCCAATCCTGTCTCAGGTCACAGCCCAAACCCCTGCACTCCTACCCAGGACACACTCCCCTCCTAGACCACTCCTGCCCCAGGTTATGACCCTCTCCCAGAACCTGCACCCCAATCCTGTCTCAGGTCACAGCCCAAACCCCTGCACTCCTACCCAGGACACACTCCCCTCCTAGACCCTGCACCCCCTCTGCTACTCCAGTTCACTGCCCCAGGTCACAATCCCCTCCTTCACCCAAGCTCCCGCCCAGATCCCACACCCCAATCCCTTACCCAACCTCCATCCCAGACCCCGCACCTCCTCCATTAATATAATGGAAGATTGCAGCCCTCAAACATTTACCAGTTTCTTGGAGTGGCCCCCCCCATCAAAAATTATTGCCCACCCCGGCCTAAAGGTCAGACCTTGCAAGACACTTGAAACACCTTCCTGTCAAAAGAAGATGAAAGCCGGGCGCTTTATTTCTTACTCTGTGCACACAAGCCAATGTTCCTCCCCAATGAGAGCCCAAAGCTTCCATGTGGGTCGGTCGTGAGAGCAGCATTCTCTGGCCATCACTTCTTCTTCTTCGCTCCAGCTTTTTCCTTTTTCCCTTTGTCTTTGCCCTTTGGCTCCTCCTCTTTAGGCTTCTTAATGATCTTATAGGGGCCGATGTTTCGCCTAACCATTGTGCCTCTCCACCAGGCCTGGAGCTGGAAGCAGGAAAGGGAGAGTTAGATTGACTATTCCTCCTGCAATGAGGTTTACCAGCTAATTTGAATTAGGGGCTTTAAATCGGAATCTCGTTTCACTGCGGCGTGTAGACGCGGGCAGTTACTTGGGGCTAGTCAATGTCTAAAATGGCGACCGGCTGGGAACATACAAATCAAGCGCGGGATATTTAAATCCTGGGCTTGATTTGCAATTCCGGTCGCCCTCATTAGCCTCTAGGGGGCTAGTGTAGACGTACCCTAAATGGTTAAATACAAAGGAGGTGGATGCTACAGGAAACCCCTTGACAGATTTCCATGTTGCCTAGATTATGGACTAGCTGCTTTGTTTGCTAGTTTACTGGTTAAACCCTGGTGAATTGCTAGCCCAGGGTTTTATTCAAGTCAAAGGCTTGAGTGAAGGAGAGTCCAGTGAGTCCTTCCAACAAAAGCAGAAAAGGCCAGACTCCGTGTTCCTGATTTTTTTTTTCTGCTTTATACTAGAATTGACTTAAAACCCAAACTGTCATAAAGCAGCAAACAAAGGGCCCAGTTCCCTTTGCCTTCCTTCTGCAGGTCCTCTTGAAACACTCTGCTTCTATTAACTTCTGACTTTGAGAGTGCAGCTCCAGATGTGCACAGGCAGTTGGGCTTGTGCAACTGCCCACGGAAATGATATCCTGTCCAGGGCCACGTCTGTCTCGGTCATTGGCGCACCCCTCTTGGGTGCAGAGCAGCAGTAATGGCACATGTGAAGGAGGCACATTTGCATGTGTGTGTCTGACACTGTTACTGCACGTCTTTGTTTTTAATCAAATCCTTAGTATTCCAAAACTGCCCATAAGCACTTTCCATTTAGAAATGGTGTCAGGTTCGAGAAGCCCAAAATGTGACACATTTTTCCATCACCCGCTGTTTCTGACATGCCTGTATTTGCTCCTTTTCTTAGCACATTCAGCAGAAACCCAGAACTATGGCTCTGCCACAAACCCTGTGAAAAGCCAGCGGGAGGCAGCTGGAAAGCAAGAAGGCTCCTAGATACAGTGAAGCCTGTAAAGGGACCAGTGTCCTAAGCTGTAGCAGGACGGGCTCCTCCCCGCACCTCCTGTAGTCACAAAGTTGTGGGAGTCGCTGTGCAGAGCACATGGAGAGAGAGAGTGTGTGGGGTGGGGGTGGGGGAGTTCTTGCACTGATGGCAACGCTTACATTGCAACCCCCGCCCCGGTAGCACCACCCTTGCTGCACAGATGGTGTGATGGACAAAGTCCCCCAAATCTTCACTCCAGGAGCCATGACCGTTCCCCATTACTTCCTTCCTTGCTCTCCTGATTCAGTAGGTGGCTATTAACTGTGGCTGTTCTACCCAGCGAGGAACGAGAAGGGTGGGGAAAGCATGCAGCAGACACCTCCCTCTGCACCCCATCCTACTGGAAGCTTTGCTAATCCCAGGTCATGCCGGCCAACCTTTTTGGTGCAGGTTGCTGACCGAACAGAGCTCCCTCGCACACAGATATTGAAGGCATGGCACTGGTAGCACTTTCCCTTTTACCTTCTTGACGCTCTTTAATTCCGACGCATCCTGCTCTATCTTTCTTCTTGCTGCCTCCTTTTCCACCCGATCCTCCTACTGGAAGCTTTGCTAATCCCAGGTCATGCCGGCCAACCTTTTTGGTGCAGGTTGCTGACCGAACAGAGCTCCCTCGCACACAGATATTGAAGGCATGGCACTGGTAGCACTTTCCCTTTTACCTTCTTGACGCTCTTTAATTCCGACGCATCCTGCTCTATCTTTCTTCTTGCTGCCTCCTTTTCCACCCGATCCTCAAT